TTTTCCAACTCTTCCCTTAGCTTCCCTAAGGATAATTTGACATAATGTCATGAAAGATTAAAAAAGAAAAACAATGAGGGACAGCTAGGAGGCACAGTGGATAGAGCACCAGCCCTGAAGTCAGGAGGACCTGAGTTCAAATCCGGCCTCAGACCAAACACTTGACAGTTACTAGCTGTGTGACCCTGGGCAAGTCATTTAACCCCAATTGCCAAAAAAACCCCAAAACACCCAAACAAACAAATAAACAAAAAAACCAACAATAATGGTCATGAAAAATTGCTTTAGAGACATATAAAACATGTTCTTTTTTTTTGGAGAAAAATCCTGCCATTCTCCTTATTTTTTCAATTTCATTAATAATGGAGTATTAGTCAATACCTCCACCCTGTGACCTCACTCAGGAGCCATAAATCCTTTGAACTGGCTTGGAGATGAGGTGGGGGGCAGGGAGGTGGGATTCAGAGGGAAATAAACTTGACTTAGACCAATCACTTCTGAGTGAAACATCAAGTGATTTATCCAGTACTTTATTCTGCTTACTATATGGTTTGGATGTCACTTAAGATTGATGGTCCAGATTAATAAGGTTCAATATTTTTTCTGCTATTGAGAAACTTAGAAAATCATTAATAAATCAAAACTCATTGGAATTCTCTCATTTTGTTCAATCCCCCAGCTAGGAAAAAGCCTGGCACGTTGGATGTAGATTCTAACCTTTGCCCTTTTTTTCCCTTTTAACCTCTGTGTACCATGAGCTATTCACTCTCTCTCTTTTTTTTTTCAGTCCCCCACTTCACAAAGAAAGACATACCTAAAAGGCAATAGTTAGTACTTTTATCACAAGTGAAGACATACCCAAAACAAAGCAGTTAGGATTTTTATCAATAGTGAATCAGCTTTAAATTACTAATTCAACCAGGAATTGTGAACAGACTTTAAAAACAAAGAAATCTCTGTTATTCTGGGCAGAGAAAGAGAATAGAAAAAGAATATCATCACCCTTCCCAGTCTCCTGGAGAGATATAGTAGTTCAACCACCATTGGGCCATTCCAGCCATAATTATCATCGGAGTCCTGGCAAGTGGAGACTGTAGCTGATGAAGTCAGGCTGTCTCAAATGCCCTGTCGCTATCACTGCCATTTCCTCTCTGTGCTATCATCTACTTGACTCAGTTCAAGTCCAGTCTTTAGCAGCTCTCTTTCCCAAAAAAAGAAAGGTAGTTCAAATTCTCCACTCCCACTACTGTGCCATGCTCAGCTCGGAGGTGACAAAAGTCTCTCTCCTTCCTGGAATAGAAACAATGCCAGATTACATCTCCCAGCTCACACAGCTAATCCCTGCAGAGATGTGTCATCAAAAGCCTGCTACACATTAATGGAAGTTAAAAGTCATCATCTGAGATGTTAAAACTTCAGAAAAAATATCGAGACTATTTTCATTAAACATAATATTCACTGAATATGTATTCAAGACTCAGTATATATTTAATACTCAAACTAGCTTTTATTTTTTATATTGCTTCAAGTTAAGTTTCTAACAAATTGTTGTATTTAAGGGCCTCTAATAATTTGACATAGGAGTAGGGACTAGATTTGTTATTTCACTGGCTTAAGGAACTCCAGCATAAGGAAGATCCCCTCTCTTAATGCAGGTCAGCCCTTTCTCTGCACCCTGGAGTCCTGGAGAGTTGCCTAGAAGATTGCAAGGTGAAGGGACTTGCCCTAGGTCAAATCTCCCGTATGTGTCAGAGGCAGGACTTATGCCCTGCTTTTCCTGGCTTTACTACCATTTCTCTGTTCTCTGTGCCATGCAGCCCCTAATAAGTTGACATAATGCCATGAAAGATTAAAAAAAAGCAATGATCATGAAAAATTGTTTTAGAGACATATAAAACATTGTCTTTTTTTTTTTTTGAAAAAAATCCTGTCATAGTCCTTATTTTTCCAGCTTCATTGATAATGGAGATTTTTTAATTGCAGGACTCGATATCTCCTTTGCTGCATTTGGCACACCCTTTCTAATGCAGTAAGCCATTGCTTTTGTGATGATTTTTAGTTCAGCAGAAGACAATTTCACCATGCTACCTTCTTTTTGTATTTCTCTCTATGACTGCCTAGCATTTTCTTTCCTTCTCAGGACTATATTGGACTGCATTGGTTATTACAGTGTTCCCTCATTCCAAGCCCCATAAAGTGTTAATCCTCTTCCGGATTTTGTGATTTAGCATATTTCTCCATTTGGGTTTCATGCTGACAGATTAATTACTTTGCATTTGTCTGAAATAAATTATACTTGCTGTGAGCTGACATAACTGAAATCTTTTTGAATCTGATTGCTATCTTTTAATTTTTTACACCCCAACAGTGCTTGTAGAAGTAGAATTTTAGAATCCTCGTTCAAATCTGTATTAAAGAAAAGATCTGAAAAAAAAAAAGATCTGCAAGGATACAGGTGTCAAAATTATAATGTAGCAGAGCCTCTCATTTTTGGGTCTCACTTCAAAACAGGTCATTGTCCAAGTTAGCATAATTCTGGATAGATTTTTCTGTAATAAAGGAATATACAGTTCTGCCTACTATAGTTAGTAGAAAAAATCCTCCAACTGGATACTTATATAAATATACTATTTACATTTGTAGCTACTTTAGTCCTGCAGTATTTTGTGATATATATGGAAGAGAACCAGACTAGTCCCTAGACTTCCTAGCCCCACCTTTTTAGATATGAATTTGAACTGTGTATTGATTTGCCCAAAGTAATACCTATTGATAGTTACCTAGTCAGAACCAGAACCTAGAAAGGTCTCCTGATTCCCAGTCCTGTGTTCCTTCCATTACACAATGATAATATGTCACAGTCAGGATTCAAAAAGCATAGTTTTTCTTTTTCATAATTGCTCTTCTCCCCCTCCCCCATCCAGCAGTTCAGGTAATTTCAATTACAGTAATGGCTATTATTTTGTTTACAACTAAAGAAATTAGCCTGAACATCGTGTACACATCTATACTTCTTTACATTGTAAAAGTTCAGACTTGAAGTTACCAAATAAACACTACACATAAGCTAGTGCCCAAGCTCTACGTTTAGGCTTAATGAATCTATATATCATAATCATATTTATAAAGGGTTTTTTCCCATTGATTAATTTGAAAAGGTTGCTTGGATGTTTTGTTTTCCGTTTTTATAAGGAAGCTCAATAGTTCACTGAGCTGGAACTGTTTAATCCTTGTTTTTCCTCATTTCTCCCTCCTGGATAGTGGGGAGCAAGATAATGCTGTAGCAGTCTCTGACTCATATTCACACCAGTCATTCTTTTATAGCACCGTTTTTGGTGGAGTTTTTTTTTTTTTTGGCGGGGGGAGCAACAATGAAACTGTTAAGATGCATTTCCTAAAATGGTATTTATTACTATGAAGATATGTCTAGTGAACAGGTGTCTATTTTGAGGATGCACATCACCAGTGGCTGATATTTTGTGGAAGAGGCAATTGCACTGGACAAGTATCAGATTCATATAGTGAGAAATGATATTACTTTTTTTATGTGTTTACAGAGCTTTCTGTGGCAGGAATTCATTTTCTATGAATCTCAAAGGGACCCCAAATTAGCATAAAGAAGAAACTAAATCCCCTTTTGGGACAGAGTTATTGGTTGTTGGGACTATCTGTTTTTCTCTGCTTCCATGGCTGGTGTCATTACTGTTGCTATAGTGAATATGCTGCGTGACATCCGTGGAAAAGTCAGCATTGATATTTTTCCAAGTAATAAACAGTGAATTCCCAAAACTTTTTTTTAAAGTGTAGGCTTGATGAAACATTATGAACATTAATTTTAAAATATTCTCTTGATGTTAATATGTGAAACTTCCATGAAGAGTTCAAATATTGAGTTATTTAAAACAATGTGATAGTATTATAAAGTAATAAACTGTATTATATATTTTAGGAAGCCCTTCAGTCCAGGAAATAATTGACCATTCTTAAAGTCTCAAATTATAGTTTATTTGCCCTCCCCAAGAAAAATTTTATTTTAATCTCTGTTGAACACTGGTTGAATAGAATAGCCCATTTTGGCATAAATCCATGAGATAGATTATTGCTAATAATATTTCATGTCATACATGCTGCCATAAGATCACAGGATTTGAGAGCTGCAAGAGACTGTAGCAATTATTTAGTTCAACCACCTCATTTCGCAGATTAGGAAAAGTGATTAGAATAGCTAATTAAGCGACTTACTTAAGGTTGTATAGATACTTGTTTCACAGCCAAGATTCATACTGAGGACTCTTGATGCCAAATTCATTGCTCCTACAGCCAGTTTCATTTTCTGTACTGTAGAAACATTTGATTGTGTTGCCTGGTCAAATATCAAGAAAAATCCTTGAGTGTATTTAGGGTTGTAATTTTATATACATTCTAATGAACCTGACCAAGATATAAGTAGAGAGCTAGGAGAGGGAACAAAGTTACAGGCCCTAGGATAAATTTTTTAAAATTATTTTAATGAATTATTAATTGGATTTGGTATCTATATTGAAAAGTTCTGAAATAGACTAACTTAAGACATTTGCTATGGAAAACCACCTTGATGTTTATGTGATTTTATAACAAATAGAGGACTGAAAAGAATAAAAGAAATGGGGAAGAGAAATGTCAATGGCTTAATAACTTGGTATGTCATATCTATGATATCTCAGGGCTATCCATAGAATAGCTGCAAACTATTATTCTTCATGATTAAGTGGAAAGAAATAATTATATATAAACTTTTGATATTAATGCTATGATGTGTTTTTAATGTAAGCTATAAAACATTATTACTACATTATTACCCTTAATCCAGTGCTGGCAGATTTTTCTTGATTCATGTTTCTTGCATTAGGAATAAAATTTATGTGAACAGATGATTTGGTGAACCTACTAATTCATATTCTCCACCCCTATCCTCCTCTTTCTGTTTTTCTCCCTCCTCTCTTTCTTCATTCCCCCAACAGAGGCACATCTAGTGATGAAATGTGTAATTTATACATTATGTATTACATGGAAGCAAAGCATGCTGTCTCTTTTATGACCTGTACACAGAATGTAGATCCAGCGATGTTCAAAACCATACCACCAGAGGCTAATATTCCCATACCAGTAAAATCTGATATGGTAATGATGCATGGACATCACAAAGGTAAAATTTGCTTTGAGGCTAAATGCAATGTTATGCTATCTCCATGGTTATTATTTATTTTTGGAGGGTTTCCTGACCAGTGACTTTATCAATTAAGAGAACACCTGTATAAACCTCTTTCATCCATGTAGATCAGCTACTCATCTATAACTTATAGTCTTAGAAAGTTTCCTGGGCTGAGGAGCCTTTCCCAAGGTCACTGAGCTAGTATATGTCAGAGGCAGAACTGGAACCCAGGTCCTTTTGACTACCAGGTGGTCAAATCCTTATCTAGTATGCCGTGTAAACTTTCATGTGTTTTTGTCCTTCTGTGATATTATTTTAGATTAATCACATTATTAGATTAATCATACTGGATTTGGATCTCTCTGAGGTTTTGCCTATTTCATCAGTTTGATATTTTTGCCTTTCCCTCATAAATCAGCATCATTTCCCAAGGTTTTGACAGACAAAATAATACTATTCTCCTTCAAACATACTCTAATTTGTCAGTTAGTGGCAATATGTGCACAAGGAAAAATTCTGATTTTACAAGGTGCTTATGACCAAATCTGCTTTTCATATCCCTTGTTTATTGTTCCATTTCCAAGCTTTCATTACTGGATTTTTTTCTTATTTGCAAACTTTATATTTTAGTCTATTATAGATTAAGCATATTGAGATCTTGACAATTCCTACTTGCTTAATTCCTAAATACCAAGCACATTTTTATCTTTCTTTTGTCAGGCAAGATTTATTAAAAGGAATTAGCAATTAGTTCATGTACTTAGTTCCTGAGCAGAACAGTATAAAGTATACATTCTATAAATTTGTATGATGCTGTGACACACTGTAAACTACTCCAAGTGAATTGTACATGTAAAAATGAATGAATGCATGTATTTCCTATATCAGATTGCTTGCCCTTTTGGGGGGGATGGGAGAGAGGGAGGGAGAACAAATTTGAAATTCAAAATCTTATAAAAAATGAACATTAAAAAGCTATCTTTGCATATAATTGGAAAAAATACTATTTACAAAAAAAAGAATGAGTATATATATATGTATGTATATTTTTTGATTTTGTAGTATAGGTAAATAGAGATAAGAGGTTAGTTGTTCTAGTTGCTAAGTGATTGATTGAATCAATGAAGGAATGATAAAATCTGATAATTCATTGTAATCACCCAGCCTTTAATGTGAATTAATGAACTTCTACCAGACATATACTTGTTGCTGGTGTTTTTGAAATTCATATAGCAGTGGATAATGTTTTCTTTTGTTGACACATCTATAATAAGTTATTTTAGGGTGTTATGTATGTTAAATATAGATGATAATGTTTTATTATATATATGTATGTATGTATGTGTATATATATATATATATATATATATATATATATATATATACGTATTACAGTTTATCTTTAGCATTCTTTAATACTTTACAGGGCCAGAGAGTAAAGACCATTCTCCTTTACTACAGCAGCCAAAACGAGAAGAAGAAGAAGTATTAGATCAGGGTATGTATGTTTTGTTTTCTTTTGTTTTTCAGTAAGCACACCAAAGATAACTGCATTCTAAAGTTGTTATTGTTGTTTTGGTAAAGCATTCTTCTCTACTGCATATTATTGTGGGTTTTTTAACAATGAAAAAATCATAAAGAATTGGTTAATTTTTATACTTTTTCTTTGTTGGGAAATTTCATGATTTTAACTTAGTCCCATTAGATTTTTCTTTATTTTTAAAAATTCATTTCATATTGGAACAGCGATTGATTTATGGTACTCCCCCCCAAAAAAAGTGCAGACATGATCATTGGAGACAAACTGCTTTTTAAAATATAATCATTTCTAAAGTTTTTCATTTCTTTGTATTTTGTCTGGATGTGTTCATCATATATGAGTGTGAAGCTGTGTATTTTACTCCCTAAGTCAAGGGAAAACAGGAATGTTGCTGTTTTCAAATTTGTGTTTTATTGTTGTTATTGTTCGGGGTTTTTTTTTTCCAGTCATGTCCAAATCTTTTTTTGTTTTGTTTTGTTTTGGTTTTGGTTTTTTTTTTTTGGTTTTAAGCAATTGGGGTAAAGTGACTTGCCCAGGGTCACACAGCTAGTAAGTGTCAAGTGTTTGGTCTGAGGCCAGATTTGAACCCAGGTACTCCTGACTTCAGGGCTGGCACTCTATCCACTGCGCCACCTAGCTGCCCCTACATGTCCAACTCTTTATGACGCTATTTGAGGTTTTCTCGGGAAAGATACTGGAGTGGCTTGCTAGTTCCCTTCTCTAGTTCATTTTACAGATGAGGAAACTGAGGCAAACACAGTTAAGTGACTTGTTTAGGGTCACACAGCTAATAAGTGTCTCAGGCCACATTCGAACTCAGAAAGAGGACTCTTCCTGACTCTAGGCCCAGCAGTCTATCCACTGTGCCACCCAGCTACCTCTCGTGTGTTTTAAGTACTATGCTATTAGATGATCAGTAAAGGAGAAGGAATCATTTTTAGTTCTGTTTGGCTTATGCTGAAATGTTTCAAGTGTGTGGCCATATCCTGTATGTAGAAGCACCGAAAGATGACTCATTAATCTGTTTTGGTGAAGGGTTTTGTGCTTTGAGGAACCATTTCTCTCCAGAAGATACTGCTTTCTGTTAGGTGTTTAGAATATGGAGATATCCTATGGCATTAGGTCTGTGGCTAGATACATACAGTATTGGGACTACATACAGTATCTTTTGACCTAATATAATTCAGATGTACTTCTACTGACATTTTAATTTGCATTGTATAAGTGCTTATCCATTGCAGAAAGACAGTGGTCTCTGTGTTAATTATCCATCCAAGGGAGTTTAAAGTAGCTCAGATTGAAGTATCTGAGCCTATCATTGGGTGGTGTTCAAAGCCCACAAACACCTAAGACTATTTCATAGGCTAAGAATGTTGGCAGATTTCCTCACCCTCAGCGTGGGACCTTACTTGCACAGCCTTTTCCTGAGGCTTCTGGGCTCAATTTAGTATAGGAAATGAAATGGAATACTGATCAAAATATTAAAATATGAAACCTGCCTAGAGCCTCCATCCTTTGGGCCTCTCAAGTCACTTTCCAAAAATGACTGAAAGATGCAGATACTTAATAGTTTATTGTATATAGAATAAACTTACATACACCAAACACTTGTGGGCAGAAAAGGATACCACCAACTCCTTTTACCAATCCTTCTAATATTTCCTTCCCAGATCGATAGGTTTTTAAAGTAATATCTCAGCTACATATACTTGCAGCTCCTGAAAAGGAATGGAGAAGTCATATTAATTTCTCATCTCATAATCGTGAACTAAAAGGGAAATCTGGAAAGGGAGTCATGGTACCCAGCATCCCTCATTTGCTTCTGACTGATGCTGATCATGGTGTCTGTTTCTATCTATAAAGTCCCTGGTCATTCTAACTACTACTGTCTGTTTCCAGGATGTGTTAATGAAAAATAAAAAAGAAAGTGAACAAAGCAAATAGTACCTCTTGTCTTGTCATGCAACTACTTGACAAAGAGTGGTCTTTTGCAAACTTAGGACTATTGCACTTCCTTTGTCTTCTCTCTTACAGAGATATTAGAGGTAAACTTATTTCTGGTAGAGGATCTTAGAATTACTTTTAGCCACTTCTGAATTTTTCAGGGCCAATGGAAAGATCCAGAGAAGCAGCAAGTAAAGAAAAATCCTTCCAGAGTACATAAGATTTCTATTTCTTCTAACACAACAAACTGCTATTTGAATTATTCAGTATTTTATGTTAATTCTAAGTCAGATGTATATTGCAAAATTTTTGGAAAAATTAAGAAAGCCAGAGGAATTAACTCTTCCTTAATTCCTTCACCAATTATTAAATACCTCTCAAACCTGTCCTCATCCTACCAAGAATCTTGAGGTAACAAGCAAGAAAAGAAATGCAAATAGGAAATTTTAAGGAGTGAGGCACTGTGCTTGATGTTGGTGATGTAAATGCAAAGAATGAAGCAGTGCCTACTTGTAAGAAAGCTTACTTCTAATGGGGGAGAAAACAAAGTCGTATATAAATATACACAGAATGAATTCAAATAAATACAAAGTTAACTGAAGGTACTAGCAGGGAGACACTAGCAGTCTGGAGGGCCAGAAAAGGCTTCATATAGAAGGTGATGCTTGAACTGTATCTTGAAAGAAGAGAAGAATTTTATGAAGTAGGAGTATGAAAGGAGTGGATCCCAAGAATAGGAGATGGCCTGTGCAAAGGCTTGAAGATAGGACAAATGTCAGGTATGAGAAACAAAGAGAGTGTCAGTTTAGCAGAATCACAGAGAATGGAAGGAACAATTTCCAATGAAACTAGAAGAAAGGATAGAGCAAGTTTGTAAAAGATAAACAGAGGAGTTTGTATTTGATTTTAGAGACAATAGGAACCACTGGAATTTAAGTAGGTAAGTGACATGGTCAGATCTGCACTTCTGGAAAATCACTTTGCCAGCAGGGTGTAAGTTGGCCTGGTGTATTACAGCAAAGAGAACCACCTGAAGACCAAGAAAAACTGAAACCATGGCTTCTCTCACACAGTCCAGTATTCTTGCAGGCTAGAAATTAGTTCTAACCTAAACCTGGTACACTGCCCCTTCCCCCTTTATCATCTCCATCTATCTTCTGTCATCTCCGTATCCAATTAAGTTGGTGAGAACGGGGTTGCTGCTACCCTTTCTTAGACACCTTTGCCACTACTTTGTCTTCTGCTTTCCTAAGTACCCAAGTTTTGGAGGCAAACCCCAGATAGGCTCAGACAAAGGACCCAAGGATCTTGACCTTCCAAATGTAGTGAGCTGTAGCCTTTTGCCTTATCATCCCACACTAGTAGGAATGCAAACCTCTGAAAAACTTCCTGTTCCCTTCCCAAAGCAGCCATCCCTGAGCAAAAGGAAGACTCTTTTCTCTGTCTGTCAAAGTGCTGAACCAGTATTCCATCTCACATGCTCATGCCTTCATAAAGGTTAATTCTATACCTTGTTTGTCCTCCATTCTAACCTCTACCTCTCAGACTCACATCTCACTTCAAAGATCAACTCAAGTAACAATTCCTTTAAGAGACCTTTCCAGATTCTGCTAGTTGTTAATGTCCTCCCTAAAATCACTTAGTTATTAGTGCCATGTATTTACTTATCTGTGAACATGTTGCATCACTCCCCAGAAAACTGCATTCTTGTTGAAGGCAGTATTGTCTAGTTTTTGTTTTCATAGCCCTAGCACACATTTGAGCACATAGTAAGTACTTAATACTGATTAATTAATTAATTAATTAATTGCCGGTGATATTATATGACAGAGAGGCATGGACCAACACAGTGTCTAAATAACTGAAGCTAAAGATGACCAAAAGAAAATGGAGAGGTTTATGACAGGCATGAACAGTTCACAATCCATGAGAAATTAGAAATTTTGCAGAAGTGTTTTAAGAAATTTTATCAGAGAAATACCTCATTGAATAGCTTTACTTCTTAGAATTTTACAACTGCATTGCCCCTTCCTTCTAGGGAATCTAAATTAACTAATATCTCTTAATATAGAATATATATACACCTACACATATTCATATAGATAGATATTAATAACTAATGCATTTATCCCCCGTTAAGATCTTTGTGTATTGGAAGATTATTTTCTTTTCCCTATAGCATCTGAGTTAGCATTCCTGTATAGAATCCAATAGGATAAAGTCAAAATTCCTCCATCAGGTTTTTGATCCTTTTTCTGAAAGAACAATCCAATGTTATTCTTTTGTAACTAGTCAATCAATTTAAAAGACACAATTCCCTGGGGAAATTCGAGCCATATCAATTGATAGTATCCATAAAGTATTCATTTCTTCTTGATATTTTTTGCTATTACCCACTAACTCAGTCAAGAATGTTGCCTCTATTTTTTCTCATAATAAATGTATAGGTAGGTGTCTATTTTGATCCAAATTGCCCCATAAGACTTGCCATAAATTGGATCCTTCACATCCCTCCTTGTTAACTAACCTTGAGTTAAATGAAAAATAATTCAACTTCACAACTCTCAATGAATTACTACATTTAAAAGACTGAAATAATAGCTGTAGGTGTGAAAGTAACAAATAACATCTTGTTTCTCCCCAATCATTTTCCTGGGATCCCTAAAAAGGAGGGAACACTGCTTCATGAACACCATCGTAGGATTTTTCCTACAAAAAGGGAAAATGTAGGAAGCCACCTTTAAAGGAGCTGTAACAATGCCTCTGCAATCTGGGGAATTGATAGCCCATCCTGTAAATATAAACAGATTCGGAGCCTAACAACATCCCACATCCATCTCCAGTTCAGCTATGAAGAACTATAGGTTATTTGATAAAATTTCTTTGGACAAATAAGTCTTGAATGGAGGTTTCCTCTTCCCTTCTGTAGTGAAAATGCTGGGTTACCATATAATTAATTATTTGAAGAGGCACGTGCCACCAAATGATGGAATTGAAATTAGTAGTAGAAACTGACCAAGTCTCATTTTTTCTCATTTTTAAATATCTTGGACCCAGAGGTACATCTTTTCAGTTGCTACAGTAAGTGGCCTAATTTATCACTTTAATGTATATCAGCATATATAAGACAATTATTCATCATGATCATGAAGGGTTTACACAAGTCCTGCAAAGCTGATTCTATATTAAAAAAATTATCAGTGTGATTAAACATAAAAACAAAAAATAACGTATACACTCAAATCAACAGATGCAAAAAAACAAACTTTGATTAAAACCTAGAATTCATTCAGAATATTTAATGCCATACAATCAACAACTACCCCCATGCAGAGGAGGCTAGTTTTCTCCCTAAAAGATAATGAAACTCTTCTTCAGACTTAATTGGTCCTGGAAACTAAGGCTTACACCATTGATGTAGCTTCCTGGTGGCTTATGTACAAAAGGCAGTTTAAGAGGAGACACTCACTCCTCAGGCCTGACACCATAACAGATGAGGAGGCAGACAACTGAATCAACATAATAGCCTTTCTGAATATACCTATTATGCTCTTGCTGAGTAAACCTCCTCTTGTCAACTGTGAGATAGTCCACAAGAGTTTCATTTCATTCCAGTCCTGAATCTAAACCTCTGGATCAAGCTTGACACACAACACTGAAACCTTCCCAAATGGATTATGATCCTGTAGATCTGGATGTTTCCCCCTGTGATACAGCTTCCAATCCATCCTTACCTAACCATCATGTACAACTCTTGTCCATGTTTGTCCAATTTTCTGGAAGTTTTCCTTGTCTTCACCCAACACCAAAATTCTAATAGTGGAGCACTTGGGCTGTTTGTCATCCTTTCCTCTCATCACATGATTAGCTTTACTCTTTCTAGCATACATTTCCCTGAAACCAAATTTTATTTCAGTTCTTCAGATTACCTCATTGTTAGATGTTATAATGTTAACATGTAACTTGTTACAAGTACACATGTTACAACATGCTCACACCCACCATGTGCCTTTTCTATTGCCCTCTATGTAATATTAATTTTCAGTTCTTTGGAGACTATTGTGTTCCATGCCTCACAGCTATTAAAAAAAAAAAACACTTGAAGATTATTGGTACTGAGGTGGATCTTAATTTCCTTTTTTTTTTTGCAGTTTTTTTTTCTTTTCAGGCAATTGGGGTTAAGTGACTTGCCCAGGGTCACACAGCTAGTAAGTGTCAAGTGTTTGGTCTGAGGTTAGATTTGAACTCAGGTTCTCCTGACTTCAGGGCTGGTGCTCTATCTACTGCGCCACCTAGCTGCCCCTTCGATCTTACTTTCTAAGAAAAACTTTGAGTCATTAAAAAGAGCTTTGAGATTTCCTGAAGGCAGTCCAGACTGATCTTTTTCACCTGTTTAATTCTAGGTTCAACTTATTGTTTATTTGTACAATCTGGCCAAGATTTACATATAGAGCTCTTAGGTTGCCCATATTACTGTTTATCATAACTTGGGAAGTAGACATTCTTCATCCATTTGGTCAAACTCTGAATAGTTTTGGATCTTTTCCAATAAACTTTTGTTCCAGGGTTTCATGCAACTAATACAATGGATGGAGGACCTTCACCTCTACAGGAAATCCTTCTTCAATAGATCTATACTGGATTTCTTTCATTACAGGGTTGAATACTTTTTGATGAGATTATACCTCCCTGTTTTATGTCTTAATTGAATTAAATGATCTGATAATCATTTTAAGAAAATTATTTCTGTTGTTCTATCTTTCAAGGAAACTTGAACAATTTTGATATATGAATTAAAGACCCCTTATTGGACAAAACCTTCTAAGGTGGTATTTTGTTCTACTGAATCAAAAGCTTTTTCATATTCACCTTAGATCAGCACAGTGAGATCTTGTGTTCTGTATGTTTTTCACTCAATTGAAAGATGGTAAAGATGTCATCTATTTCAGAATATCACTTGAAAAATCTGCCTTCTAATACCTTCAGTGAGGATTCCCTTTATCCATGTGTAGATGATTCTTAAAGAGTTTTAATATAGATGAGGAAGTAGGAATAGAGGTCAATAGTTGTTGAATTTCCCAGGTTACCTTTTTTATTACTGAAAAGTTTCAAGATGTATTTATGTCTTTGATACATTCCTTTCTTGTCTTGTGAACCAGTTCCTCCCTCGATACTGTCACAACTTTCTCACCTTCAGCATAGGTTTCCTCTGGCTGCTTTCACTATATTTCTTCTCTCCAGTAGTTTTTCTATTTCCTGTATAGCAGTCCAGGACTCTGATGTTAGAGTCCAAATGTGGTGACTCAATTATTCTTTAAGGCAAATATAATTTGTCATAAAATTTTGTAGATATTTTTCATTTTTCTTCTGTTTATTGTTCTCCTTTCATTTCTTCCTTAAAAGCCTTTGGGGTGACTATTGGATCTCTTCTCAAGCTTTATTTAATCCTGTTTTACCCATATTCCTTCTTTCTGCTTTACGAGATAAATGTTCTTATAATTGTACATCATACTTTGTAACATTCTACTAAAGAATTTATATTCTCAACAGTGACCATTTTGGCCACCATTTCTCTGTGCTCGGCAGGTAAGTCATGAGTGTGCTGACTAAGGTCAGCTTTTTAGGCTTTTTTGGTTCCTTATAGTAACTGGTAATTAATTTTCCATATAAAATTATTATTATAAGTGTCATGAATTCTTTCATTTGCATGCTATATCTTTTTTCTCATTCTTCTTTCTTCTTTTTACTAATTTTGATTGTTTCTCAAACAAGTCAGTGATCTGACTGTTCACAAACATCTGATTCAGAGATGAATCCAATATCAAGAATGTCCTTTTCTAGATGTCAAAATAGAATTAACTTCATTTTGTAATGTTATTTGGTGCTGACCACGTCCAGCTCCTATCAATGTTTTTTCCTCAAAGAAACTATTCATCATATAAAAGCATGAGGCTTCCATGGTCTATAAGTCCTTGACACTTTCATTTCTTCTTTCTGCCCCACAGTTTTTGATATATTTCTCACCATCCTCACCTCTTTCCACCTTTGCATTAAAGGCATTGAGTATTAGAGCGTATTTTGATTTATTTAGAGTACCTTTCTTTCTCTACTTTTTCATTCTCTGTAACCACTGGTATAAGTAAGCTTTATTATTTTCATGATTTGTTTTTTGCAAATAATTGTTTGTGAGCAATGAAATATAAGATAATGAAATGTCCTATGAAAATTTCTTGTTGCCTTTGGTCATAAAATAAAACCAACTTTCCCAACTCTTCTCTTTGCCTCTCTAAGGAATATGTAGCCGGTGTTCTATTTAACTACAACTGCCTTCTTTCTTCTTATTATATTCATAGCAAGAATATTACGATTGGTATGATGAGACTTCTCCACCCATATGGACACTTGCTTTGGATGATTAGACAAAGACCTTACATTTAGAGTAGTAATAGTTAAGATAAAATTTGTAGACTATCTAAAAATGATGTGATTCCTAGTACCCTGTGCCATCTTTCCCGTCACTATGCCATCTTTACTCCAGAAGTAGAATGGAACCATTCATATACATACATACATACATACATACATACATACATACATACATACATATATACATACATATATACACACACACATACATACATACACATATATACATATATGTGTATGTATATATGTATATATACATACACGTATACACATATGTGCATATGCACATACACGCACATATAACACACATGTATATATACACATATATGTATCGGTGTGTATTTATATACACCGATACATGTATGTGTGTATATATATGTACATTTTTGTTTATTTGTTTTAGGGGTTGCCATTACCAAAGAGTTTGTCACCAGAAGGCCCAGCCATAATGATAATAAATCTCTGCTTCTTCATCTCTGCTTATCCTCAGAAAACAGATTTGGTCTGTTACTGGAACAATTCTCAAAGCTTGTTAGGAAAGAACCTGCTAGAGATTGCGTTTTAATGTCATAGACTTAGAGAACCCAGAGTCACCTCTAGAATAAGTACACGTTGAGGAGTAAACACAGGTGATTTTTTTTTTCTCAACACAATAAAAAGTATCTACCTTAATCCTCAGGTAAAAAAATTAATGGATACAATGAGTTTGTTGAAATTTTAGAGTATTAATATAACAAATATCTTATATTTAGAGTATATATAATATGAATGATGGAAGAAAATGAAATAAACCAAGTATGTTAATTGTGAAAATATTTTTAATTACTATTATTTAGCAAACATTACTATTTTTTAAAAATATTACTGAATGTTACTATTACTACTATTTAGCAAATAGAAGTAATAATTTAGGAAAGGATAGATATGGTAGACTACTCCAATATTCTAGAGGGTCTACACCAGTGGTGGGAAACCTGCTGCCTTGAGGCCAGATGTGGCCCTCTAGGTCCTCAAGTGTGGCCCTTTGACTGAATCCAAACTTCACAGAACAAATCCCCTTAATAAAAGGATTTGTTCTGTAAAACTTGGACTCAGTCAAAAGGCCACACCCAAGGACCACATGTGGCCTCAAGGCTGCAGATTTCCTATCCCTGGTCCATACCATGGGCATTCCTCCAGTGGTCTAGACTACGTCCCATCTATGACAGCTCATACTGTGTAACTATCATCCAGGTATCCTCTGACCCTTTTTTCCATCCTTCTGCCACCATCACTTCAAAATTCAAAGAAGGCTACACAGGACCATTTCGTGTTTTTATTTTTTCCATGAGTTGGCATGGGAAAAGAATTCATGACTAAGTAATGAGTAAGTAATGAGCCTCCCTGTCTTCTGTTAGGCCAGTCTGCAGAAAACAGATATTGCCAGGACCGTGTTTGAAGTCTTTGCAAAGTAATAGGATCTGCCAAAGTTTTTGATCTTAGTATAATCTTCAAGGATACAGGGTCACCTCTATGCTACAATAAGACATCAGAGTAGGACATGAATGTGAAATATTTCTGCAGAACAAAAAAAATTCTGAGGAAAAGAAAATTATAGATTGGCAAAATATCCATGAAAACCAACAAATTAAAAAATGTGATTTTAATAGCCGCTAGTAAAAATCATAAATTCCTAGTCTACAATAGATAAGGGTAAAGATATGAACAAATAATTTCAAAAGGGGAAATAAGAATTGTTTATTATCACTTTTTAAGTGCTCAACTTCACCATTATTTAAAGAGATATAAATTTAAACAATTTTGAGGTACAAACTCAGGTCCAAATTTTCAAAAATAATTAAAAGCAGCAAAAACAGGGGTGGGGGGGGGGGAAAGGTACGCTCATCCATGAATGGCAAGATTGGAAATTTCCCAATTGGTTTAGGAGAGCAATCTGGCCCTACATAATAATAGTTACAAAAATTAGCTAACCTTTTATGCAGTAATCCCTTTGCTGGAACAATATCCTGAAAAAGTTATTAAAAACAACAACAAAAAAAGGAGCTATCTTTGCCAAAATTTTAAAGCAGCATGGTATGAACTGCAAAAATCTAGAAGCAATCTAAATTTCTAAAAAGAAGGGAACATTTACTTAAATTGTAGTACTTTAATATAACAGAATGCTATAATTTAGTTAAAAAGTATGAAGAATAAAAAGAAATATAGAAAGACCTTAATAATTTTGTCAGGTAGGGGGAGAAGGGAAGGTCTGCATTTGTGATTTCATCAGTTTAGGAAACTCCCAAATGAAAAACATCTCCACTGATGCAGGTTAGCAAGTTATTTGTAATTCATGGTCTTAGAAAGTTGAGTAGAAAATTGAAAGGTCAAGATTCTTGCCTCTGGTCACACAATGAATATGTTGTGTCAAAGACCAGACTTGAACTCAGGTATTCCTGACTACAAGGGTAGCTTGTTATCCACTACACAGTCCTATCTCATGAAACAATATAATGGAAAAAATAAATACAGCATCACAGGAAAAGAATGTGCATGCACTATGACCATCTAAGAGAAAAGGTAAATGAGACTGGAAAAGGAATCCTAATGGGAACTTAGAAGACAAACCTAAACAATTGGTTTTGTTACTTTATGCATTGAAGTTAATTTAATTAAGCAAGTTTAGCTAGTTATTAATAGTTAATGTATTTTTCACAAAACATTTAATTTTTTTTAAAAAAATATTAATTTTACACTTACCATAGCATTGTCTTCGCTATCAAAGAAACTGTCCTTTTTGAACTCTAAAAATAGGAAAACATAAGGGCCATTTTTTAAATCTAAACATTTTAACATTGCAAATTTTGCAGCAGCTTATTCAGCAAACTTTATTTTTCCAAAATGATTGCATATATGTGTATATATATATATATATATGTATATATATATATACATACATAAATTTACATGTATATGTGTATACACATAAATTTAGCCAATGAAAAGTCAATTGGGTATAATACATACCTGGAATGATTTTTAAATGATGTATATCAACTTAATGACTTAAAATTACTAGAATTAGAAACTACTTGTTTTAGCAATAAAAATCAGTAATGACATCCTAACTAATGATATGAAAAGTGTTTGTGATAATCTGGCTGAAACATATACAGACACAAAACAAGTTAATTTAGTTATGTGTAAACCCAGTGAAATGTGTGCCATTAAAAAGTAGCTGATGTATTAGAATTCCCAAAGAGCAATAGTTATATACAGACCATTTGGTACAAGACTGCATTTGACAGATGTGTTCTCATCATTGTGTTTCAGTGGAAACTGAAGCTTCACTGAGCTTCCCATTTTCAGTTAGTTGTAAAACATCAGAACTTCTGGAAAATTGGTATCGCAGAAGAAGGTTTTTTTATATATAAATGAAGCACTATTGGTTAGAATTTTTTTTGCTTTTTTTTTTTTTGATGAGGCAGTTGGGGTTAAGTGACTTGCCCGAGGTCATACAGTAAGTTTCAAGTGTCTGAGACCGGATTTGAACTCAGGTCCTCCTGACTCCAAGGTTGGAGCTTTATCCACTGCACCCCTAGCTGCCCCATATTGGTTAGAATTTTGTCCTTGCTCTTTCCTTAACAGTACATTTTTGAAAGGTTTGGTTGTACAAACCAAATGCTTTTAAACATACCTTTTTTCCTTCCAGTTATTGCTTCGATTTTTGATCATTTATAAACAATGTCTGTGGAAGTTAGAAGCTACAAAACTCAAAACTGATTCCTTGGACGTGAAGATATTTATGGCATTTGAGTTTCAAACTATTTAGTCAATCAGTCAGTAAGCATCTACTATGTGCCAGGCCCCATCCTAAGTGCTCAGGATTGGAAGAAAGGCAAAAGACAGAACTTGCCCTCAACTCACAATCTAATGGGGAAGACAACAGGCAAACAACTGTATGCAAACAAGCTGTGTGTAGGATAAATAGGAAATAATCAAGAAAGGGAAGGCACTAGAATTAAGATAGATTGAGAAAGGCTGCCTTTGGAAGGTAGAATTTAAGCTGGGGCTTGAAGGAAGCAAGAGAAGCCAGAAGGTTGAGATGTCGAGGGAAACAATTCCAGGCTTGGGGGGCAACCAGAGAAAATGCTATGAGCCAAGAGATAGAGTGTCTTACTCAAGGGACAGCAAGGTCAATATCAATAGAGAAAAGTATATAGCAAGGAGTAAGATGTAAAAATACTGGGAAAAGGTGAGGATTAGGGGGGGAGGTTATGAAAGGCTTTGAACAACAAATAGAGGATTTTGTATTTTATCTTGGAGGTGCTTGGGAGTCACTGGAGTGTACTGAGTGGAGAGTGACGTAGCTGGACCTGTGCTTTAGGAAAATCACTTTAGCAGGTGGAAGATGGAATTGTAATTTTAAAAGTATAAGTTAGAAAGTAATATGATTTGACTACAAATAAAAAGAAAAAATAAAGTATTATTTAGAACTAATCCTCATACTACAGATAACGGACATTTCGTGTCCTTCAAATTGATCCCCTATGTACGCTTTCCACATCAGCAAGAAACGATAGGTACATAGAGAAGTGCTATAAACAATCCGGTTTTTGTTTAAGTAAATATCACAGGAAAGGCATAGATACAAAAATTTTCCATGGGCCAATACAACCCCTCCCCAAGTTGCCATTGCTAGGCTATGGGGACGCCTGGAATAGTTTAGAGGGACTGGGAATCCCATTGCTTATGATTTAGGTGAGCTTTCCTGATATGGATGCTGATTTACTACAAAATCACTCACCTAGATGGATACTTGCCCTTAGATGTAGGAAGTAAAATGACTAGGGAAATTTGATCAATTCTCCTTTTCATTAAAAAAAAAAGTAGTAGTTAGAAAACTCCCTGAAATAGTATATTAAGTGTGAGCTTACTCTTTTGAGAAGTATCATCAATTGAGTCTCAACTTTCCATTGGCCTCTCTTGAAGAGATCTAGAGCAACATGTTTCTCAAGAACAATTTGTCTTTGTAGAGCACTTATCCTGTGGTGGTGATCCTTGGCCTCATTTGAATCTCAAACCCTCAAGGAGCTAGAGGAGATCCTGGGACTTCCTCCTAAATTTTCCCAGCTCCCTCCTATGAGGTTTGTCCTTAGGATTATAGAACCTTAGATTTAGCATTGAAAGGAGCTTAGGAGTCATTTAGTCTGTTTAATAGATGAGGAAGGTGACACCCAGAAAGAGGGAAAAAGTCTTTCCTAAAACTAACATTTTTTTTAAAAAAATTTTAAAAATTAAATTTAAAAACTAGTAGTATATGTACTATGATTCAAACCCAGGTCCTTTGATTTGAAATTTAGTATTCTTTCCCTGAACTGTACTCATTCCACAAAGGTTACAGAGAAATGACCAATATACCCCATGTTCTGGGGACAATAGTTAGAGCTAGTACTAAAACTCTTCATAGATTGCCCATGCCATAAGAATTTTCCCAAAGGATGCAGTTGTAATTTAAGGTGAGAAAAAAGGAGTCACTGAATTTTTAGCCCAATACACTATTGATCATTATATACCCATATCTCAGCTCTCCTGCACTGTGATGTAGTCTGGGAATTTGTGCTATTTTCTGGTTCTGTAGCATTTTTCTTTTTCAAGTTAAATTTTATTTTATTTTCAAATGAAGATCTGCCTTCTCTCCTTCCCACTTTCCTTCCCCACCCCCCATTGAAAAAGCAAGAAAAATAAAGCGCCTGTTATAAACAGTATAGTCAAGCAAAGCAGATTCCTGCATTGGCCATGTCCAGAGGGGGAAAAATGATCTCAATCTGAGCTCTTAATCCATTACCTCTCAGGAGGAGGCAGCATATTTCATCATGCCTCCTTTGGAATTGTGGTTGATCATTGCATTAATTGGAGTTCCCAAGTCTTTCAAAGTTTAAAAAAAATATTGTTTGTCTTTACAATATTGCTGTTATTGTATAAATTGTTCTGGTTCTACTTACCTCCTCTTGACTACTTTTTTTTTTTTACTGAAAAGGAGAATTGATCAAATTCTCCTACCCATTCTACTGACATTTAGGGGTAAATGCATGTCTAGATGAGTGATTTTATGGTAAATCAGCATTCATGCTGGAAAGAAAAAAGAGAGCTCATGCACAAAGCTTAGAAATCTACAGATTTATTGACAGGTGCTCTTTACAGATGACTGAGGCTATGAGGGAGCCAGAGGTAGTATGTTTTAAGTTCCCAAGTCTGTCTTGAGATAAGCTTCTTCTTCTTCTTAATGTATGGTATCAAAACAACTTGGGAAGCAGGGACAGGGAAGAGCAACAAAAAATACTTTCCCATCTTTACTCTTTTTACAAAGAAAAGTTCTAATCACTGATGTGTCTGTGAGATTTCCCAGACTTCCTAGGAATTCTAGAGGAGTGTTACTGGGGAAGCAGAGATATTAATCTATTACCCTCCATAGATTTTGGGATCTATACTTTTGGATCTTGGACCATTGTAATTCATTGGGGGAATGGGGATGAGGGGAATGAGAGAGAAGCGTGAAGAGAGTCTGACTTACCAGATTGCTGATTTTATAAATTATTGGATCTTTTCACATAGAGAAAGAAGCCTGTTCTCATGTCCTTGACTAGACTCTGGTAAACATTAATCCGTAAATTTCTCAGAGGCCAAGGGGCGATGCCTCAACACAGGTAGTCATTAGCTCACAGTAGGGGCCTCTTGTTAAAATAAAGCACAAAGGTTATATTATGTTTATTCATGACCTGAATTCCTGCACAAGAGCGAAGTCCAATGGAGTGATATCTGGCAGTGCTACTTTATACATATGCAGTGGAGAATAGCAATAAGGTGATGATGATGTAACTGGAAGTCATGAGCAGCAAATCTTGTAGTCAGGTGGCTTTCCATATATGTTTGCTGGCCACACATTTCTCTACACATTTTCCTTAGGAGCATATATGCCTTGTGTGTGTGTCCCCATACACATCAGACAGTAAGTCAATAAGTATTTATTATGTGCCAGTCCTAAAGATACAAAAGAGGTCCTATCCAAATTTTAATGGAAGAGACAACATGTAAACAATTAGGCGCGTATAAGACAGAGAGAATAGGTAAAGGAATGGCACTAGTTGCTGTGAGAACTTGGAAAGGTCTGAAGAAGGTGGAATTTGAGCTGCCTTTAAAAAAGCACACACATGCCATACATGCACACATACACAGATGATATATATATGTGTATGTTTTATATACATATATACACACACATACCCACATATGCACACATACTCAATTTAAAGAAACTTCACTAGAATCTATTCTTGTGCAAAATTTAGTCCACCTAGAACGCTGTCTTAGGGGATTTAGCCACTAAAGTATCAAAAGGACCTCATTTTATGAAAATTTCACCTGGAAGGTAGTTCCTTGAGCCTAGATCACTAGTGACAGAATTTCAGCAAGCCTTTAGTGAGTATATGTTAAAGTCCTTGTAGAGAAACTGTATCTCTGAATTAGTCCCTGAGATCTGCTGCCAGACTCAAATAACTTTTTTGGATTTTCAAAACCAACTAAAATGTCAGCCTACTTTAAGAGTTAGCAACACAAATGTGAAATTACCTGCACTTGAGTTAAGTACAATAAATCGAAAATATGAAACTCATTAGAAGAACTTGGGAGACTTGATACAACTGGAGTCTCAGCCTACACTGCTAATGTTTGGCCCTAAATATGTCAACAGGCACCTAAAATGCATCAGTTTTTCACTAATGGGCAGACAGTAGTATATTAATACATACTTGTGGATTTTCAAACATCAGTCAACTTGCATTTATTAAGTGCCTACTATGTTTCAGGCACAGTGCTAGGTGTTGAGGATACAGAACTAAAACAATTCCTGGCCTTGGGAAATTACATTCTAGCTTTAGACAACATGTACATATCAGGTATATACCAAATTTGCTCTGGTTATCTTTGTGTGTATAAAAACAATATAACACAGGTTAACTATTACATAAGACTTTTTTATTGTTGTTGTTTGAGAAAGGAGTAGGGTTGCTGTCCCAACCAGAAGGGGCAACAACTCAGGCTAAAGTGAGGCCTAGAACCTCAAACTCCAGCATTGTAGTGGAGCTAGACCTGGAACTTCTGTCACTGAGGAGAAGGAAAGTAAGAAGAGGGATGGAGAGAGCATGCAGGGATAGAAGACCTGGGAGCATGATGGGTTAGTACCAGAGGTCTGAGAGAGCAGTGGCTGACTAGGTATGTAGCCTGTGTATGCCCTGCTTTCCTCAGAGGTTGCCACTGGCTGTGGTTCCACTCCCACAGGGTGGGACTGGTGGAAAGCAGCCAAGCAGCATCAAGTGAAGGTTCTACATGAAGAGAATGGATTGCAGACCTCTCTCCTTGTAGTTGGATGGGGAATGGGCCCCCCAGAGGCAGGAAAGGAAAGGTCTGCTTGGGTCTTGGTCTATTACTGGTGGCCCCAAGGTGTTACCCTCCTCTTGCCACTTCCCACCAGTGGAATCATATTCTCTGTTCATCTTTCTTTCTTGGCTGTTTTTATTTTTTTTTAAAGTGGATACCAACTCTTTGTGGGCACATAGCGTGCACTTAATAAGTGCTTATTGATGATTGATATATTTGTATAGGAGTTGAACTGGAAAAAAATACTCTAATTTTGACCACTGCTGAGAGGATCTTGCGTTCCCATAGAAGGGGCATGCCTCACAGTTTGGAAGACTCTACACTATACTATGTTGCCTTAAACCAAGCTATACCTGTGGACTAAGAAATTACATATTAGGGCGTGACATTCCTAGAATCTTAAGGCAAATAAAAGTTGCCCTCATGCTTTACTCCTAGGAATAGTTTTTCCTCTCCATAAGCTTAATAAATCAGTGAGCCAGTGAACCAGTCCAGTGAATTTGCTGACATCAAGAAAATATTATGATAGCAGGCAACAGGAATCCCCAAAACAATACTTGATTTTGTGTCTGTATGTTTCTGTCTGATATTAATTCCAGATGGAGATGCAAAATTTCCATTTTTAAGAAATCTGTATCTTGGAAAAACAAGGTAAAATGTAGTAGATTAAAGTCTCTAATAAGCTCCTTTATTCTTCACCACATTGTGCATTGGCCTTCTATGTGCTTTTCGTGGTATGAAGAGGTCTTTGACATGTTTTATTCAGTTTGCTCTAAACCCTTTCTGTTGTAGTCTTTCTGACCTGTTATAATCAATCTCTCTACTCAAAGGTCAGCATACTCCCAAGACAGAGAATATGACAATAAAATTTGTAGAGGGAGAATGCACCATGACTTCTGAGAGTTAAAGGTCCTCAGATAGGTCCTATGACACTGAATAATTTTGTAGTGGTTTTATGCTAACAAAACTGAATTACTATTGATGTGCTTTATCAAAGAAGCAGAACCAGAGAAATGAACTTGCATGTTAAAAAGACTATGGTTGGCCATAAAAGAACAAAGTAACTGTTTTTCTGTTACACTTAAAATAAAAAGTCTTGATTTAGCACTTAAAATACGTAATCCTTTTTATCTGTAATCAGTTGTATATTTTAGACAATGACTTGATTCTATAATGGACTACGAATGGTTTTATTAGCTTTTCTGTTCTTATTACACCTCTCACTGCAGTTTAAAAAGAATATATACTTTCTTGTTTGTATACTCATTCACTGAAAATCCACTGACTTGATATGATTTATAAGAAGCAAACCAATCTTTACTTATTAAAATTATCAATCAAACCTAGCTCTAAATATCCCCCCAAGGCTTTAGGAGGCTGACTGAATGACAGCTTTGGGATTTGTTTCGTAAGAACAGAACAGGTAGACATAGGTGATCATTTGTCAAGCTGTCAGGTGCTCAAATAGGGATCCCCATGCAAGTAATGCACATAAAGCCCTTTCACCACAACAAAGGATCCTCTCACTTGCTTTGTGTCTGAATCCTTTACTTTAAGAAGAGAAGAATTCATTCTTACTAATTTAAATCAATCTTGGCCTTGAAGAATAAATATTAGAGCTACCTCATTCATATGCCTTGGGAAAAACTTTTAAAAGTTTTCAAATCTCATGTATATGTGTATATGTTAACATGCATATACACACATACATATATACATATATATACACACATATATATTATTGGTAATAGATTAAATTTGTGTCATTTCAGTCGTGTTTGACTCTTCAAGATCCCATTTGGGGTTTTGGCAATGATACTGGAATGGTTTGACATTTCCTTCTCCAGGTCATTTCACAGATGAGGAAACTGAGGCAAACAGGGTGAAATGATTTGCCCAGGGTCACACAGCTAAGTATCTGAAGCCAGATATGAACTCAAGTCTTCCTGAATCTAGGCTTGGCTTTTATCTACTGTGCCTCCTAGCTGCCCCAATACGTTAATTATCCAAGGGTAAAAGTCTGCCATGATTCATCCAGAGCCCCAAGATTCAAATTATTTAAAAGAGGCTTTTCATTTTACTAATTGTTATTAAACCCTTTACCAGTTTACTTGCCTTGGTTCAATTTCCATCCAGTTGGCTATTATTTGGCATATTTTATTAGCAGCAAAGTTGTTGATGAATATTTAATTAATTCTCCATTTACTAAGTATTATAGCAGTAAGCAGTTGTGAGAGCTGTTTATTTTAGATAATAAATTACTTTTGTGGGAAACAGGAATACATAATTTGAAAAGTTACTAAAATACAGTTTTGGTGATTTTTACTAGTGAAATTTACACTAGAAATAAGACTTTATATATTCTTCAAAAATAAAGGGAATCTATTTTTTAATCTCATTACTTCAAAGCACTTTTAAAATTATCCTTATAGCAGTATTTTCAAGGTCTGTTTCCTTCATAAATTTATTTATTCCTAGTTTTCTTATAAGATGTCTGAGAATTGTCTCCTTAGAAGCAAAAGATAGTTGTGGATCCTCAGGCAAATGGAAAATTGCCTGGCTGATCCTTCAGTTGTCTAATCCATATAATCTAATCTGTGGTAGAGTAGAGGAAGACTCCAAGGTTTGGACTTCCGGCACTGTTTTAGAACCCAGTGGATTATCCTGCCTTTATTTTCCCAGCATCTTAACTGCCACAACAACAAAAATTACCTATGACCTATGACCAACCTTCAGAGCACTTTTGGCACAACTTTATTGCCTTTGGGCAGTCACAGTGATCAGCTGAAAGGGCTAAGTAAGAACAGAACAAAATGGATGGAAATATAACAAATTTTCACTGGAGTTTAAAAACAGTTATGAGATGGGGTACCTTAAGCAGTATGGGCAGCCTGACTATGAATGAAGTCACAGTAGGAGATGGGGCAGCTTACACCCCTTCCTGCCCATAATACAGCTCCCTTAGCCTCTGCCAATGTTTCTTTCTCCTGTCCTGCAAAAAAGTATGCTGGCAGACCATTAGAATGACTGCCCTGGAAATGGGGAACCCACAATGCTGCACTGCTGATGTCATGGGACATTCTGATCCCAGATGAATCAGAAATAGATAGTAACAGTTTTTATCCAGAAGTTAGTTTTGAATTGTTTTCACATTTTTTTACCCTGACCTTAATTCCTTTAATAATAATAAAAAAAAAAACTTCCACTTACAATTAAAGTGTTTTTAGTATTTCTGATAGAATATTATCTAGTGATTATATTGTGAAGAACTATGCCATAGTACGTAGAGATCTGGCCTCAGAGTCAGAAAAAAAAAAGTCAGAGTCAGGGTTTAAGCTCCACCTCTACCATACTGGTTGGGTAACCTAGGCAAATCATTTAACCCCTCACAGTATTAGACAATTCTCTAAAACTGTAAATTGTAGAACAGGGGCTGATCTGCATTTGGAGAATGAGTTTCTTCCATAGGAGTTCCCTATAGTAGTGAAATCACAGATGCAAAATAATAAATACAAATATATATATATATATATATATATATACATATATATACACACACACACACACACACACACACACACACATATATATATATATGTATGTATTTTTATTTCCTCTGAAATCTTTGTCCAGTCTCTCACTTTAGCATAGAGATGACTCTAGATTACTGAAGAATACAGCACTAAAGCCTAGAAGCCCTGGTATGCCCTATCAAAAGGTGGCAAGCCTTTAGATGTGACTCTTGTACCTGGTTATATGTCTGTCATCTAATGATCTTTCACATTGGGGATACAAAGACAGATGATGAAATAATCCTTACTCCCAAGGTGCTTACATCCAATTGGGCATGATGACAAGGACATATGGCATGTCTAGAATAAATACAAAATAAATATTTGGTAGTTTGAAGGGGGAACTAACAATAGAGGAATTCAGAAAAGACTTCATGTACAAGGTGATACTTAGGGGGATGCATTTCTGGCATGAAGGGCAGTCAATGCAAAGGCAGGGAGTTGGAGCATATAGTATTACCTGGGAAGTACAGAGATAAGGCTAGTTTGTTTGAATCACAAAGTACAGAAGAGGCAATAATGTCCAGTGAGGCTGGAAAGATAGGGGCCAAATTGTGCAGAGCTTTAAAAGCTAAATAGAGGAGTTTATATTTTTCTACAGACAACAGGGAGACATTGGAGTTGATTGAGTGGGGGAGCCATGTGGTCAGATATGTATTTAAGGAAACTGACTTTAGTAGCAATGTGGAGTAATTACTGAAGTAAGGATAGACTTGAGGCAGGTGGACAAATTATGAGGCTGTTGTAGTTAACTGGATGAGAGGTAAGGTGGGCCTGAACTAAGGTGGTAGCTGTGTAAGTAGAAAGAAGGGGTCAGATGCAAGAGATGCTGTGAAAGTGAAAATAACAAGATTTGGCAACAGATTGGCTATGTGGGGTTATGGAAACTGAAAAGTTAAGTATAACACCAAGGTTATGAGCCTGGGAGACTAGAAGGATAGTGGTGCTATGGCCAGAAATAGGGGTAGATTTGGGGGGAAATATAAAGAAATAAATTTTGCATATTTAGCGTTCTGAATGTTAACTGACAAATTAAAATTGCTTTCAGTAAACATGAAAAACTGTACTGATAGAATCTTCAAATTAAACCAAATCAGCAAATATGTATTGAGTGCCTACTATGTGCCAGGCCCTGTGAAAAGTGGTGATTTCTTTATGCATTCATGTTGAGATGGTGAAATTTTCAGAAGTGGCTTCGTTGCTTTATAAAGAAAAATAAATAGATTCCATCAATAAGGGAACCCAGGATGCGTTAATTCCAAATCTAGAAGACCTGCCCTGAAGGTCTTCCTATCAAAGACAGATCCAAGTTGCTTACCCTGTTATTTTTTTCTTCTTCTCAATTGCTACTACACCCACAATCTCCAAACAGTCCCCCCCCCACACACACACACAGTGATAGAAATAGCATAACTGCGCTTGGACATGGCTACATAGAGTTTGCTGAAAGTAGGAAAGTTGGTTACCATATTAGTGGAAGTAAATTGAAAAATGGCAATAAGTTTTAGTCAGAAAAACCCCAACTTTCAATTATAGACTGATTGAGAAAGTTTAGCCCTATGTTTATGGGATCTGGTTCTATGTTCTTTTCTGTTCTTTGTGGAATCTTAGGATCATAGATCTAGAATCAGAAGCAACCTCAGAGGCTATTTAGTCCAACCCCCTCCTTAAACGGATGAGGAAGCCACAGAAGGCCCAGAGGTTAAATGACTTGCCCAAAGTCACACAGGTATGCTAAGCACCAGAGGTATCATCTGAATGAAAGTCCCCTTATTCCAAAGCCAATGAACTATATACTGCCTCTCTTCCTAGAAGAGAGGTAGTGTAGTAATTGGACACTTACAGATTGTAATTTACTTCAGAGAGTTGGCTTATTTTCCGGGTTCTCTACACTCTTTTCAACAGTTGAAACAAACAAACAAAAAAAGTTTGTTGGTCTCATTTTCATTTGAAATCTTCCAATACACAAAGCATAATTGTCTGATTTAATGCATAGAGTTTTAGGGCACTGTACTGGGCAGAAAAAAATTTGTATTGACATGTTAATTTTTTCCTATGGTCTGACAGATTGGTTGTGCTATAATTTACTTTGTTCATTTTGCTGAAATTGGCCCTATTATTTTGGTAATTATTTTTTGACAGAAGATTTCACCTGGGATAGTCTCCTTCCAAAAGCAAAGATAGAAATCCTAATTCAATTCACTGAACCAAGACTGTTTGTAAACATGACAGAATCTCTTTGTATCATTTTTGAGAGGTTTAATTTTTTCCTTATACCAGTTTCACAACTGTACTATTTTGTGATAGTCTATATTTAACAACTGTTCATCACTTTCATTTCTTAGGTATCTGAAAAAGTATTTGAACTTTTTGTCATATAGCGCTATTAATGTAATTAAAAACTAAACAATGTGAACCTTTAGTTATAGGTGATATCTTCATTAAGGGCATTAAAATGTAGCATTAGGAACTGGAAAAAGACTTTATTTTGACAAAAACAAAACATAATTAGTTTTGAAGTGTTTTTCTTAAGTCTCAGTTTTCTTGAATACCAGCTTTCCTTGCTCAAAATTTGTTCCCCCTTCATGTAGCTGATACCTTAAATGGATTTTGAACCACAAATTTAAATGACAGGTTCAAAATTCATCATAAATGCACAAGTTTAATTTTGTTTCTAAGTTAATTAATGTAAAATACATATTGTTTCCCCATGTTTTGTTCAAAAAATTTACGAAAGTGCATAGAAACACAAAACTTTTTTTTTTTAATTTGGAATCACTTTGATGATTTCCTTCCCTAGGTCAAAATCTCTTCTCTTTGAAAGTACTTCAATTGAATTCAACAAATATATATTAATTGCCTGCTAAAGTATAAGGTACACTAGTTCTTGGATATGTAAAGAAAAAAATGTAACAATTCCTATCCTTAGGGGCTTACATTCTCATGAGAGTAGAGAGGGATATCAGGAATAGCTGTATGTATATGAGAAGCACTTAAGCTCTAAAGCAAGATGAGGACCCACAATGATGAGGAGAGTGTTTTGTGTTCAGGAAATATCCAGTTGGGCAATTTGTCTGGAACAAAATGTGTGTGAAAAGCAGTCATCTGAGATTAGATTAGGAAGGAAGGATGTGGAAAGCAGACTGTTGAGGGCTTTAAACGCCAGGCTTAGGATTTTATATCACACTACAGGCTGGGGAGCAGCCATGGAAGGTTTGCTGTGTGCACTGGAGAAGACAGAGACTTTGAAGCAGTAAAACCAGTGAGGAAGCTAATGCAACAGTCTAGGTAAGAAGTGATCAGGACCTGAATGAGGGTCAAACTGTGATTACAAATGAAGTTGTATGGGTAGAATCAGCAAAAGCATTGGCAACTGATTAGCTATAGGAAAATGAGTGAGAAGGAAGAGTCAGGGCTGGTTCTAAGATTGTGAAGCTGCATAACTGGAAGGATGCTATTCTTTGCAACAGAAACAGGGACATTTCAAAGAAGGTTAAGTTTGGGGAAAATAGAAGTTCTATTTTGGACATGTTGAGTTTGATATACACAAGTCATCTAGGTGGTGCAGTGGATAAAGCGCCAGACCTGGAATCTGGAAGACCCAAGTTCAAATCCACCCTCAGACACTTACTAGCTAGGTGACTATGGGCAAGTCACTTAAACTCTATTTGCCTCAGTTTCCTCATTTGTAAAATGATGATAATAATAGCACCTCCTGGAATCATTGTGAGGATCAAATGAGATAATAGTTGTAAAGCGCTCAGCCTGGCACGTAATGGGTACTTCATGAATATTCGTTATTAGTAGCTATTATTATCAGACTGATGAAAAATCCAAGTGAAGATGTCCAAGTAAGTATTTAGTAAGGCCTGACTATAGTTCAGGAGAAATAGTAGGGGTAGATAGGTGGATTTGAGAAATATTTGAACCTATGGGAACTGATCAAATGACCAAGTGAGTATAGAGAGAAAAGAGAAGAGGACCCAAGACACAGCACTGGAAAAAATAATCGTAATTAACTAGTTTTGAAGTATTTTTCTTAAAAATCAGTATTCTTGAATACCAGCTTTCCTTGTTCAAAATCAGCTGGAATTAACAAATAAAAAATAAAGATTTGTACTTCATTTCACAAATACAAATGATTTTGACTGCTGTGGTCTATTATATGGAAATTGACCTATACTGCCAAAAAAGTAGTTTACTTACCTATGACTTTACACTTTAATAGTATTTCCCTTAAGGAATGATTTCAAATCATCAGAAATTATTCTTTGAGATTGCTCCTTTTTTAAGGCTTTGGGCTCCAACTTTCAATTAATCTATCTAATGTAAATATCCTTTATTGAAATTTCCTTTGTAATTATGCACACATATTTTGTCCCTACAGATATGTTCTTAGAAGTCACATAATCCATTGTCCACTTTCCTCAAAATAGCAAAAAACAAGTTGTCAGTGTGTACATTGCAGCTTATGTTTTGCTTGTTCTTGATTATTGTTTTTTTTTTTAATGTATGAAAGACTGGAAACAAATCTCCTTGATAATGAAAAACACAGGATGAGACAGGGTATTTTCACAGAACTGTTTTTTTTTCTTTGCTGAAATTTTGGGAAGCTTTTCAACCATGTCATAATCTTGTTTTCCCCTCCCTTTTTATCTTTTCTCTTTTCTGTGCAGGTGATTTCTATTCCCTCATTTCCAAGCTGCTAGGAGAAAGGGAAGATGTTGTTCATGTGCATAAGTATAATCCTACAGAAAAGGCAGAATCAGATCTGGTAGCTGAAATTGCTAATGTAGTACAAAAGAAGGACCTTGATTGGTCTGGTCCCAGAGAGGAAGCTGACCATAATGTGAGGGGCAATACTATTCTTGTCAGAGACAGAATTCACAAATTCCACAGACTAGAATCTACCCTGAAACCACAAGAGACCAGACCTTTCTCATTACAGCAGCCCCCACGTGAGGAGGGTACCCAGGAAACAGAACACACAGGAGGTGGGTTTAGGGCATCTCATAAGCAATGTAATGCTGATAAGAGTTTCATTAACAAAACCTGAAAGGAATAACAACTGATGGGTGAACTAATTTATAAAAAAAAAAAAAAGGACTTAGCAATTGTTGGAAGCAAGATCCTTTAGCTTCCCCCTCCCCATCGTTGACTTATTTCTCATGCTCTCTTGTTCTCTTTCTCCTCCACTATCATATGATGATTCAATTAGACTGCATAATTAGATATATAATATTTATTATACCTATTTTTATTTCTGTCTAAAGAAATATAGTACATTATTTATATATACTAAATGTACCAAAATATAATATTCATTATAACAGTATTTATATAAATATATATATAAAGTATTTCTATATATTATAATAATATTAATTTGATGATGTCATGATAAATTTAAATTTGTGGTTTAAAATCCATTTAAGGTATAAGCTATGTGAATGGGAAACAAATTTTGAATGAGGAAAGCTGGTATTCAAGGAAACTGATTTTTAAGAAAAATATTGTTTCATTTTTGTCAAAAATTTGAAAAATCCTCTTTTATAAAATAAACAAAAATGTAGTCTTTAGTTCTTCCAGTTCTTTATACTACATTTTAATGTCTTTAATGAAGACATCATCAATAACTGAAGATTCACATTGTTTAATTTTTAATTATATTTATAATCATATAAAAAGCTAAAATATTTTTCAGATACATTAAGAAATGAAAGTGATAAATATAGACCACCACAAAATAATATAGTTGAGAAATTGTATAAGGAAAAAAATTAAAGCTCTCAAAAATGATCCAAAAGATTCTGTCATGCTTACAGTCTAATTGAATCATATTATAGGTTATTTATAGCAAATATTATATTTCAGTATATTTAGTATATATTATAACATACATACTTTTATATAAGTATATATAAATGTAAATTATACTGTATACTATTCATTTATATTTATAACTATTATAAATTACACAAGTATTTATATTTAGGTGATTTTGAAAACCGTAACTACAGCAAAATATTAAAAAAATTACATCTATACTTTTCTCTGTCAAGTGTAATTACAACATGAAAATTCTGCTTAAATGAACATCTTTCCATTATGCCAAATGAAAAACAATATAAAACATAATCTGGTGAGCAAATTCCTAGTATATTAAGTGTTTATAGACCCATTTCTTTGAAGATAATTAAATCTTTCTCAAAGGAATCTCCAGCATTTTTATCTGATTGACTTGTAATACATAACTTATTTTTATGAGTTTGACTTCTTAAAAGTTGCATTATCTATTACCATCTTAATTGGAAATTTGAATAGTTATTTCTGAAGAAACATAAAGCTCATCATTAGCTGTCAGATTTATCTTTAATTCTGACCTTGCTAGCTTATAAGTTGAGAGTAATAATTTATTCCCTTCAGGTTTCCATTAGAGCAAGCTATGGGTTCATCATATTTATCTTTAATTGTATTGTGGTCTCTGTGATATTGATTGTGTTTCATGTTACTTACTAATGTGGAAAGCCAGATAAACAGCATGTGGAAATTATCTCTGAAAAATAACTGGTACGTTTGCATGGCAGTTCTCCATGCGAGCTAGAAAGGCAGTGTTGCTTTCACATGGATTGACATTGCCAAATAAATCTTTGCTGGCAGCCATAAATTATTTATTACCCATCTGATTTCTATTTGTTATTGAAAAATTATAATAGTATATTCTGCTTATGGGCAAGGCTCAAATCTCTGCCTATTGGGAATGACCTGGTTGGCCTGAACCAAATATTTGGAAGATTCTAAGTTAACACTGGTTCAAATTCAAGCAGAATTAGCCCACTTTTAAGTGTTCTGAAATTTGTTAAGTACAGTAAACTGTGATAACATGGAAATATGATAGCCAAAAGAACAGTTATGGTGAGAACAGATATTTGTTCATTGAATATCTCTGAGGCAAATTACTTCTTCCATTTAAATTCATTCTGTCACCCATTCCAAAATATTATATTTGACAGCATAAATTCAGAGTTTAAGACTTAAAGTACTGTGTTTCTTGACACAAAGTCAGTGTCACCCAAAAAGCTAGAGTAGAAATCATGAAAGGAAGACGACCTGGGTTCAAATCTAAGATTTGTCACTTAACTACCCATGTCACCACGGGCAAGTTATATAAACTTTCTGGACCTCACAATAAAATAATAATAATGATGATAATAATAATTTTAAATTCCTGAAATATATTTTCTTGATAATTAAGTTTTTTTATATTCTTGGGTGGCAGTAAAATATAACGGAAAGCACTGAATTAAGAAGTCAGACCAAACGGTCTTTGCTACCTCCTATCTGTTTGACATTGGACAAGTTGTTTTACTTCTCTGGCTCTCTGATTCTTCATTTTTATTTTATTTTTTTGTTTGTTTTTTGGCTAGACAGTGCGATTAAGTAACTTGCCCAGGGTCACACGACTAGTAAGTGTTGTATATCTGAGTCCCGATTTGAACTCAGGTCCTCCTGATTCCAGGGCCAATGCTCTATCCACTGTGCCATCTAGCTGCTCCTGATTCTTCATTTTTAAAATGAGGAGATTGGATGTAATTATCTTTAAAGCACTTTCCAACTCTTATGACTCCTCTGCTTTGCAAAATGATTGATATTTGGAACAAAAGGGACATCACCAAGTTCTTTCTTGAAAACATTCCTTTTCATTCTAATTGAGTGAATATAGCACAAGTTAATTAAAAAAAATGAGCAACCACAACATGCAGTATGAAGCCTGATTATAAAAAATAAATAATCATGTATTTCTTTACAAAATTATTTGTTCTAGCTTCATTTCCCTGCCCAACTTTGAAAGCTTTTAAAAATGGTGAACAATATCACAAACTATTCTTTATACAGTGTTTTATAAAGGCTTTTTATGCTGTATTATCTATCTCAAAGTTGTATCATATGTGCTATAAAACACAGTATTAATATTAATATAATTTTGAGGGCACAGGGCTCATATTTATTATTTCATTAGGATAGGGATCTCCTGATATGTAAACTCTCTCTCTGTCTCTTTCTCTTTTGCTCCCAGAACTAGTTTTCAACTCCTAAGTATTTCACAATCTTAGAAAGTTGCCTGGGGCACTGATAGGTTAGGTAACATGCCCCTATCCCCACAGCTAGTATGTGTCTCAGGCAAGACTTGTACCCAGGTTTTTGCCCTCTATCCACTATGCCTTGCTGCCTCTGTAAAACAAATATGTTTGTGAGGTCTGACCTGACTTGCAGCAAAAATCAGTTCTGTAGTGCTACTTTGCAATCCAAAATCATGCTGTAATTCCAGGAGTCATCAGTTCACAGTGTTATCTGAAAGTCAGTACTGGAAAATTCTGTCCTAGATCTGCCAAGGAATATAAACTAGAAAACTACCAAAGCAGTAAATGGAATCTCTGCTTTCTTGGAAATTATGATAATCGCAGCTTTGCTCTTCTTTACAATTCTGGTGGCTGTGCTGGTCTCCACAAAAAGCGGAGCCGGATTTTCTCATTTTTGCAGATATCTTTCCTTTCAGAATTTTATCCTCATTAACAAAGGTTTCATAAAGAAAGGAGAAAGGGATTTCCTGTATCCTAGCCTATGATACCATGCTACCCTAATACTCCAGTAGTCTCCAAGGATCAGTGATCTCCTTAATCTGGGTATTCTCTTCAACAACAAAGATTGTAATTCATTCACTCTTAACCATTTTATGTATCTCTTCATGTCCTCCCATAAGTTTGTTGGAGGTGTTTGTTGTAGGCAATCTACTTATTATGATGGAGTGCTTCCTCATGGTTTTTTTTGTTTTACATAGTGATGATACCATTTGACCATGAGAACTGTCCCTCACTTTCATTCCATCATCAACTCATCTTTTTGGTCATTCATTTTAATTAGCAATTGGATGACGTCTTTTATATCTTTTCATTTGCACAATGCCTTATTTATAGTATGTTACCCTCAGCTCATGCCCACTGTGCACCTAGCCATTGCCCTCTGGATGATCTTCAACTCCAGGTTTTTGGAGGACTGTAGTTCCAATGCCTCACAGTCATACAACATGATTGGGAATATTGTAATTTCCCAAAGGCAATGCAACCTATTCTTTTCCCTCTGTTCAATATTTTATCCAACACATTGTCCATTTGCTGTATCTTTCCAAGATAATATACTGATAAATGAGTTCATAGGTTGTAAGTACAACTGCATATTGCAATATAGACAATAGATAATCTATTTCTGTTTGGTTTTTCCACTCTGGAAAGTTACATCAAACAATTTTGAGTGGTTATGAATCTTGTTCAGAACACTTTACAATTTGAGAAGGCTTGATGCAATTAGTTCATTATCACCAGAAACTAGGAGAATCTGAAGGATCTCACTAAATGTATAGAGAATCTCTCTTTGATTTGAATTCCAGGAAGAATCTTTCCTATGGCAGTAGTGAATACCTTTGGCAAGAATGTCACTCTGTTTTTATGCCTTAATTGATATTGAAATCAAGAATCGGAGAATTGTTAAACAAGACTTTCTCTGTTATACTTTTCAAAGACCTTTATATAATGTTGATATGTGCCTAGGAGACACTTTGCTGGAGAATTGCCTTTAAAGCTTCCTTTTGTACTAGGAAATCAAATGCTTTTTTAAAATAGTCAACATTTAAGACAGTTGTATCTTGTATTTTCTGTACGTTTTAGCCAATATATGTTTGCAAAACTGAAGGAAATTCCTTGCAAAAATCTGCCGATTTTCTTCAAGGATGCTTTCATTGAGTAAATAGATTGTACTCACAAAAATTTAATGTGTACAGGAAAGAAGTATTTGGATCAGTAGTGATTGGTATTCTTGTAGTTTCCATTTTTAGTAATATTAAGGTCTGAGGGATTTTTTCATGTCTCTTTAGCATTTTCTCCTCCTCCTTCAGATACCTAGAAAACCAATCCCTTAGTGCCCTAAAAATTGTGTCACT